TGATGAATGATGCACTCACGAGCAGAGTGAGCAGTCTGCACTCTGCAGCAGTGCCAACGACGATGCACCTAAGAAAAGTTATTACTGAGCATTGAGCAACAATATCGAGTTTTATTTTCAGTCACGACATTTGATAACATGGAGTTGTAATACGGATTATCACATAATCTGTGGTTGTAATCACAAAAGTCAAAACAACGGACAATGGCCGGGCACCCATCGGCCACTACAAAAGTGTGAATGTGAAGGCGGCCATCAGGTAATTGCAGTGGGCATGCACTTGCACAAGGTCTTGGCATTTTTATTTTTCACTGCAATACACTGCCAATGTTGCGTTAGTGGGCGCCCGGCTTAGGAAATARTCAAATAGTGACGTGATGGATTGTTGAGTCTATTTTTTTTGTAGAAGCTTAACAGCGGCCTCGGGATTATGGACAAGAGGAAAATGTGGTGGATCACCATGTTTATTGTGAATTTACAACGGCGTCTGCGTAAAAATAAAACCCATAATAGCCGACATAAATAGAGTTGTACTTAGATTGACCGCCAAACAAAACCACTGGCAGCACTGAATACAATTATTCACTGAACAGCGTCGATGATAACAGAGGAACCTTTAGCAGTTTCGCTGGCCGTCTCCCCCGTCATCTGCGCACTGTATCGTTATTCGTTAGTCGTAATATACCGGTCCATTATATCTATACCTAATCATAGTCTGTGGTTGAACGTTGATTTCGTTTTTTGATTCATTCTTAAAAATAATAATTCAATTTGAATTTATAAGACGTGCTGCAGAAAACAATGTAAGAGAAGACGTTTTGAATCGTTCGCTAAAAACATTGCTAACTTGCACGATCGGTTCTCGAAGAGCGCTTAAACGAAAATAATATTCGACTGACAAACACGAGAACAACGTAACTACTACAATCCTATTCGAACGCGAATTTCGTCACTAATTTAAGGGCGACAGTATGGAGGAGTTTAAGAAAAGAGTGAAAAACGAAAGCGACATGGAGGCGTGGGAATCATCAGAAGCATACGACGTAAGTTTAAGATAGTATGATGAGAATTCATCGAAATCGAATTCAACGCAAATCTTTAAAGATTTTCGGCGTTTGTCTGTGCTTATGAAATTATTGACTCTTTCTCTATGATCATTTATAGCGCATGTCAAGTGACAATTTGTTCAAAAATATACTATTACACGAACACGATCATCCTGTGTGTGCTCTGAATTAAAATATAATAAATATTTATTTTATTTCAATTCCATACAATGAATACTATGCCCCATTGAGTAAACTCATATAGTAGCCCAAGAAATATGAATGTTAATAATCACATTTAGTTAATTTAAATTGATTTCTTTCAATTTCTATAAAAAATGAATAATATTCAAGTCATATAATACAGGCAGTAAGCTTAAATATGTATATATATATATATTTATCTTATTGTCTTATTGAATTATTTCAATGCAGAATTAATTGTACATACCTATAATATAATACTAGTCTTGTAAGCTTTTCTATGCATCCCGTAAATTTCAGACATATTATATCTAATGTAATGTCAAGTTTGATTTTTTAATCTAAGGACAATATTTATTTACTTATTCATGAACTAATTTACGTACAGAGGAGTATAATACAACTGTAATAAAAACGTRAATTTTTTTTAGGATTATATTGGATTCATAATAGCTATGAACAAAGCCGTGTATGCCATACCAATGAACAAAACTTTGACGCTGTCAAATGAAATATCACAGTTATTAAATGTATTAAACACAATTGACGATTGGATTACAGAAGTGGAACCTTTGAAAGAGAGTTGTAGGTTTGGAAATAAAGCTTTTTCTACATTTTACAATTTATTAAAAATGGTTAGATAATAAAAATTAATTTAAAAATTGTATTTAATGTTGAAGATTTATTTTAAAATTTATTTTTAGAAATTACCTGAAATTTTGTCAAAGGAATTGTCGTCAGTCAACCAACAAAATATTATTGAGCTAACCGCTTATGTTGTTGATAGCTTTGGTAATCCAACTCGTATCGATTATGGCACTGGACACGAAATGTCATTTTGTATGTTCTTGTGTGGCTTATACAAAGTAGACATATTAAAACAAAGTGACAGTAAAGCTACAGTCAACGTGCTATTTTCGAGGTTAATTGATTACAATCATATGTTTCAACAGCGTTGGTTGTAGATTTGTCTATAAATTTACTGTTTTCAGGTATTTAGAAATAGTTCGTAGACTTCAACTCAGGTATCAAATGGAACCAGCTGGAAGTCACGGCGCTTGGAGTTTAGATGACTACCAGTTTGTACCTTTTATTTGGGGTAGTGCACAACTAATCGGTAATACTATATTGTAATACTTTTTAGGATTTTATAAAACAAATTGGCTATTATTTATAGAAAACCCAGATTTTAATCCAAATATGTTTGTCGATGAAAAATGTGTACAACAGTTTAAATCGAAGTATATGTTCCTTGGATGTATTGATTTCATAATGCAAGTAAAAAAAGGATTGTTTCATGAACATTCTAACCAACTTTGGAATATAAGTGGTGTTCAAAGTTGGAATAAAATCAATGAAGGTCTAATTAAAATGTATAAAAAAGAGGTAATATAACAATACAAATTCACATTTGGATATTTAACCATCCATGTATTATTTCAATTTCAGGTACTGGGAAAATTCCCAATTATTCAACACGTACCTTTTGGAAATTTATTTAATTTTAAACAATGCATTAAACAAAAAACTTTTGCTACACCATCAGTGAATAAAACTCCTGCACTGTCATTATTGGAAAAACTAAAGAAATCCGACCAATCAGTACCAAATATAGTAAATAAGTAATTTATTTTCACGTTTGTAAAACTTATACAAATGTGTTTATATTTAATGTGAATTAATGATATCAGCTACATATTAAGTTTTCTACATTATATTAAAATTATTTAATTTTATCTGTGCAATAATTCCATTAAATTTACAAACATGATATGAAAACAATGTTAGTCTACCACCAGTGGCCGTTGATTTCATGATTATGAACCTTAAATTATATCAATTAATCTTGATTTAAATTTGTTTGATCCTAGATTGTCAAAATAAGTTTCATTTGAATAATAAAATTAAAATACGTAATAATTGGTTTCAGTAATACATTGTATTAATTATTAMCCTTGTCAAAATCTGTTGTATACAATTTCACAAACAATCAATTTAATTGTTGTGTTGGCTGATAATCACAATAGTAGTCTTTGTCTTTTAGCACTTAAAAATTCAGCTATTCATTTATCAGTTTTGAATTTGTAACTTGCACAGTAATAACAAAGATTAATATTCTTGTGCTAAAATGAATATAATTTTCTTAAATTTTCTACCAAAAAAAAATCTAAAAATCTCCATTTATAAACATTTATTAACCTTGTATTTTAATGGTGATATACCTCTATTCAGACTAAGTCAAAATACATTTTTACTTAGCTTATTTAACTGTTATGTATATTGAGAAATATTATTCTAATGAATCCTGGTTGAACATCAATAACATTGTTAAAACGGTAAAATATTATGTAATGAATAATATATTTAACTTTAAAGTATATCAATCATTTTATAGAAACAATAAGAGCCATATTCTATAAAATGTAAATTTATTGTATACAAATCTAATACTTTTGACTAATATAAAGGATATCAAATACAGAAATGAATAAATCAAAGATATTCGTATGCAATTAAACAAATAATTGCATATTTATCTCACATAAATTAGGTAAAATTAGTAAATGTTGATGTATTAAAATATTATGCAAAAATGTCAAAAAAAAAAAAAATTTCTATTAGTTTTAAGGATATGATTTAAATAATTTTAGAAAAATTAACACAAAAAAATCTCATTATACAATTAAAAAATAATGACAAAATCAGTAGAAATATATATATATACATATTAAATTTGGAGAAAATATTATTGTTTAACGCGCAATTTTGATATTTGGTGAAGTGCTCGGGCAGGAGAAAGTACCGAATTCATGGAATTATCCTGTTAAGAAATAAAATAAAGTTATTTTAATTTCATAAAATTCATAAAATATTACAAAAAAATGTTTTGTTCTTACAGAAGGTATATTACTACTGTCAATTAACGGAGGTTTGTTATCAAATAATTTGCGTTTCCGTGTACTAATTGGAATATTTGCAATGGCTTCGTCTATCTTTCTGTCACAGCTATCAGAAGATTCTGTATTAAAAATTGAATGGTTAATAAGTTATAAAAATAAGAAACATTAGCTAGCTAGATTTTAATGGAGTTACTGAAATGCTTTTAATGTAATACTTATCATGTCACTTTGTTAGTATACAATTATTTTACATATGAATACAAAATGGACTACCATATAGAATTATATTTAATAATATCCATAAGTACCTGCTATCAAAGTTTTCGTTTTCCTGAAAAAAAAAAAAAACAGCATTATAATTTAATAAAGAATAATCAATTATTACCATCCATTTAAAGCTAGATCAAAACATACTTTTTAATTAAATAACAACACTTGAGCATTAGTGGTGAACAGTTATTTTAGCTAACCTACTGCTCGATTCTTTAGTATAACTATTTGTTAACAGTTAATCAAGTTTTACCAATTTCAACTTATGCCAACGATTATAAATTTAGTTTGAAATTCCTGAATTTTCAAATATTGATATTCAAAATTTAAATTAGAATTCTTAAAATGCCAACAGGTTGATACATGAAAATATGATAAATTCAGATGTTTTCTGAAATATCATAATTGGGTCGATCAGTAGGATGGACAAAAAAAATAATACTGAGACAATGATAAATAGTAAAGTAAAACTGTTTAAGAAATGACGAATTAAACAAGGTCGTAGGACATTAATTTATATTAATGATAATGGTATCATTAAATTTTTTTTAACTAACATATTTTATGTAAGCTAACAAATCCTGCCAAAAATGTATCCATTTTATTTTTTCAGACCTGTCAATTATTATAAGTAGTGCGAATCACAATAATATTGAATCTTATCGAGTATGTCGGCACAGTGTTTTCTCTTTCTGGCTCACACATAACATAGAAAACACCATTTTATGTAAATCATTTATTTTTATTTTCTTATTTTTGAGTAATCTTAAAGTAAACTATCTCATTACAAAAGCTCTAGGCATAATTATTTTTGTGGTATCAACTTGATTAAATATTATCTCAAAACAATTAAAATGTCATAAAAGTTGACAATTTTTCAAAGTTGAATAATACTTAAATATAACACTGATGTCATAACCTCAGAAATATTAACTTATAAAAAACATTTTAAGGTTAAATTAAGTGTTCTATGTTAACCGAGGTTCTGAGAGAAAATATTGCGCTGACATCCTCTAAACACACAAATCAAATAACTTGTATGGTCTAGTCTAAATGTCACTTCTGCTTTAAAAACTTATTATACATAATATAGTGTATAATACGAAAAAATGAATAAATGTTTTTTTTTTATATAACTATTGCTGTATTTACTTGGTATTTGTTGAAGGAGTCTTATTTTTACATCTTCTTTGTGGTTTACGATCTGATTTAGAAAGCTAAACAGAAATAAATTAAAAATAATTTATTTAATAATTAACATACAACTTATATAAATAGTAAATATCTTACCAAATTTTCTTTCTCTTCAGCTATATTTATCATTTGTAATGGCTATAAAAAATACAAAAAATTAATACATAATTAATAAATTCACAATATTGACTTACTAATTGAACATTGTTTAAATTGGTTACTACAGCTATACTTTTAGTCAATGGTTTCACATTTGCCTCTTTTAAATTATCATATGTGRTCCGAAGTTCATTAAATTTATTGTCATTTTCCCTATAATTGAAGTATGTGTTATTAGAATAAATGTAAATTAGTATTTCATTGAAATAATGTCAAAAAAATCAAATGATTTTTATACTTTAGTTCATATTCTAATTTTTGAATTCGTTCTTGGAGGTGTGTAATCTTTGATTCTTTATCTGTTCAAAAAGTATAATTTTAATTGTATATTAATAGAAAGTTATATGATAATAACCTGTTAACATTGAAAGCAGATGGGACTCATTTGTATTACCTGTATTTGACTGTTCAGCGGCCTTTAACTAAAATTAAAAACAAATTAATCACAAACATAAGTATAAAAAAAGGACTAAATTACCATTTGTTTCAAAGCTTGATATTGCTTTGCCATATTTGACTTTTCTTCATTATATTTTTTGTTCTTTGTTTTTAGTTTTGTTATTGTATTTTCCAAGCCAACAATTGTCTCCATTTTTTCATCCATGTATTGTAAAATTTTTTGTTCTGCCTAAAAACATTTTAATCTTTCATGTATGGTTGTTTAAATAATTGATTTTCATTATCTTAGTAGAATTACTATTAATTTAACAATACTAACATCAACAAAGTGTTTATACAATTTGTAAAAATTATTTAAAAACTCTTTAAACTAATACCTACTAATAAAGTTTTTTGTATCAAAACAAACTATAATAATTTAAAAAATTCACTATTTTGGCAAAAAAAAAAATATATCTTACCACTTCACTTATACGCTCTTCTTGGAGAAGTTCCATTTCAGTAATATAATTGTCTTTTGCCTCTAATGAACCAGTTAGTCGTTCAATTTCTAAATTCTATAAGACAATAATTAATTGTAAATAAATATTATTCTTTTTATTAAGTACATGACATGGAGAGTATGAACAGTTTAAATTTTGGTTTTCTATCATATTATTAATAATAATGCAAAATTACTATTAATTAAATGTATACTTTGTTGGAAATTTAATTCGTTGGTTTACATTTTTAAGCTTTCTTTTATCATTAAGTGTAAGTTGTAAGCAAATAGATTGTGGTCTACAGAATTGAATATATTTATGTGTTTAATACCTCAAATTAGCTTCTAGTCATATTTTATAGATATAATTCTGATAAGAAATTAATTGTATACATATTCTAAAAGTTTTGTTGTATAATCTCTATTGCTATATACTAGGTTATGATGTATAATTAGATCTTAAAATAAATAACATCTTTAACTTCCTTAAAATAAGTATTAAAACAACACTTTTTAAATTGAAAGACATCAGCAATGTAGAAAATCAACTCTAAAAAGCAGACTTCAAGATCTTTGGTATTAAGAAGATTTGATACCATAATTATCTGTCATTGTGCACATGCAAAAGCAATGTAAATGTGTTCATTGCAAATGTACTAACAACAATTAAACAAATGAAGTAATAAAATTCTAGAAATCGATTTGAATTTTTTATTTAGATTATTTGAAAACGATTTTACTAGATTTATGATATTATATTTCAAATTTCTAAAATTTTTTATTTAAAATATAGTAATTAAAATTTTTCATACTGTTTTAGGAAAATTCAAATCAAAAATGTGGAAAAGTTGATCTCATGTATATGTGACGACAGATTCAAATTGTTTTCATAATTTTTATAGCTTCATCATATCAATTAGTTCACATTTGGAAGAACATGTCTAAAATTCTATGTTGTTAGAAAATCACGGTATCAAATCTCCTTAAAATATGAACAGTTAATTTACGATAACCCTAATACTGTATGGCCGGGACCTTTCATTAAAAATTTCTATTATCATGATCTAAATTCCCAAAAAAATATTTGTAAGTCTTTAGATTTTAAAAATTTGTTTAAACTCTATATGTACTATGTAGTTTGTTTTTAAAAATGACATTCATACTTCAAACAAATGTAGAGCATATAATAAAAAAGATACTATACCTTGTCTTCTAATTCTTGATATAGTACATCAAATTTATTATTCATCTCGTTTAAGTCTGCTTCCATTTTTTCATATTCAGTATTTGCTTCATCCAACATTATTTTATAATTCTAAATTAAATATAAATAGCAATAGTGAATAATTCATAAAAAATAATAACAACTATTTTACAAAGTTATTACTTCAATTTCACGATTTTTAACATCAATATCTTCTTGCCTCAAATCATGAACATTTTTCAAGACCTATTAAATAACATAGATTATATAAAATGATAATATTAATTGAGGTTTATAAATTTTACATTAATTTCTGCAAGTAATTC